TTCCCACAAAAAACCACCAGAGGACCCCCCTCAGTGAGACACCCCCCCAATCACTCAAACAGATGCTGAGTAAGATGCTGGGTCAACATTTGTTCACCATGCTGTGTGTGGGAAACAAAGCAGTCGGTTCAGTCCCTTATGGCGCTTCCAGAAGAACAATCCTAGTCAGCTTTCATCGGCAATATGGGTGTGTCCTTTTGGAGGGCACCCTGATGGGTGATGGGAAGAAGAACCAAGCCATTTCGGCTCCCCGTTTAGACATCCCCTAAAAACATGTTGTTTACAGTGGGCTGTCCGCAGTTTCCTGTTTGGTGACAAAACTCTGGAGGCAAAGGGATTTTACATTCCCGCGGATCAGATTCGGTGAGACAAGTCGGGTTTGCCGGCCTAGCTTGCCCGGTCAACATTTTGTGGCTCGTCTGGACTACTCTAGGGCTGATTCCTCGTCCATCCGGTTCCACCACTTGTGAAAGAAACAGCAGACTTCCCTTTGGAAAGAATAGGGAAGCGGGTTTGAAAGGTTCATTTCCTTTAAACAAGCCCCTCAACTTTCACAATTGACGAAAATGGGGTAGTAATCAAACTGGTTCACCGTTTGGGAGTTGTGTGTTCCAAGTAAAGGACGCCCTTGAAATTGGAACCCTCAATGTGACTCAAGCAGTTGCACTCGTGGATTCGAATCCGCCCCTGATTTAAGCATGATCCACCTGTTGATTGATTCAAAGTGAGCAGTGCCTGCTGATTCCCTGAGGAACTATAGGAAACTATAACGGGACCCTTTGGAAGTGTAGACATTCCCCTGAAGGGCTAGCCCCTACCCCGCAAGTGATGTATGGGGCGGTCGTTTTTCTACGCTCCCTATTTGTTCTTGTTGTGGGTACGATACAAGTCAAATCGTGCATGTCTCATAGAAGCCGCACATGTTTTTCCAGGAAGCTCACCCAAAACGGGTGGCTTGGGCTATCTGGCTGGTCAAAACCACTGGGATCCCATTTTGGGGTAGGTGAATTCACCACCCAGTTTAGAACCTATTTTAGTGGTTGGATGGGATGTTCATCTTGCCGTGGCGCCCACCGAAGGCCAGCGAGCAGCAGCGCCTGGACTTCCTCTCGGCAGCACGGAGAGGCCGGGCTTGGGCAGTCGCAAGTCGCAAGCCGCAGCGAGTCCTTTGGACCCGTTAGGTTGCTTCGATCGGCGTAAGGATTTGTGTTGTTTGTCTTGTCCCCTGTTTTTTGTTTCTTCTTCTTCTTTATTTTTATTTTTCTTTTTTTATTAAGGGAATCTGTCACTGGAAATTAGCTTTCTTTCCAGGGTTCGCAAGCGGAAGCTTCCATCACAATTGTGCGTTCCTTTTGGATGCCTTCCTCCTGCGGCGCCTGTGGAAGGGTACTGGGCATCGGTGTGCTTAAAGTCAGTTTGGCTGAAATGTCCGCAATTCGGCTGGCTTGCATGTTGTCCTCATTTGCGCTGGCTAGGCGATGCGGAAAAGGTGGCTGCCTTCCTGGATGAGCCGATTCATCCAGGTCTTGCAGCAGAGTACGACAGGAGCTCATAAGTTGTGGGGAGCCCAAAGCGCACTTGCCACTTTCACGACGCCCGTTAGCGGTGAAGATGTCATTGAGTCATATGGGGGTGGGAGTCACACTTATCACAGACAGTGGCTTTGGGTTTGTCTCAATCAGCATCCCCCCCTCCAATTGAGGGGTCCGTTTCGTTTCCCTTGAAATAGTTTCACAAACAGGGTACCCCGCCGCACAGAGCACATGCCCATTTCCCGAGTTATTTGCCGACATGCCCATTTCCCACATCATTTGCCACAACCATGTTAAGTGTGTGTGTTCCTCGTTTCGGGTGAGTGTCTCTTGACTACCACCAAACAAAACTGCGCTTCCACATGCAGGAGTTCGCCCTTGCATGTTGCTGCCAGACACGGGCACGAAGAGATAGTCCGCTGCTTCCCGGCGGCAACTAGAGGCCCCCCCCCCCGCCCAGAGTTTGCTAGAGGGAGGTGTCTTTTTGTGGAGGGTACCCTTTTTGGCGCTGTCTCAAAGTGACGCCTAGTAGCCTAGGAGAGGTCACCATTTTTGAGGGTCAGACTATTTCGAGACAACATCCGTTCCCGCGACGTCAGTTTACACATCAGGTGACGTTGAAAGGGCAAACATGCGGAGCTCTGATGTTTCCTGCTTTGGGCGAAGTGTGCAAAACGGATGTGGCACAACTTTGTTTCCTTGTGCAGTGGGTGTTCCTTGAAATCAAGCAGCACCAAAGGGGATGTTCAATGCTCTTAGTGGGTTACGACCATGGTGAAATCAGGGAGTGACCCCTTTTATCCCCTCAAAGAATACATGTTTCCGCGAGGTTCGTAGCAGTTGCCATGCTTCAGATCGTGACACGGGAAAGGGCACTTTTTGCAGCGGGTACCCTTGTCACTAGCTGAAAGCAAGCGGAGCTGCGACCGACACCCAAGAGTATAATTTGTTGGATGGGCTGCAAAAAGGGCTCCCTGGTAGTTCAAATGTCTACCCTTGCCAAAGGGTGCTAAGGAGCAACCTGACCATACCGTCTTTGGAGACCACTCAGAACCATAGTTCCAAACTGTAACCTGAGCTTCCACGATTCATCAACCCTTGGGGAGGAACACTCCTTCACATTTTGGGCCTCTAAATCCACCAGGTGATTCGTTCCAGGTCCCAGGGTTTGATGGAAGTTCTTAGAACCTTAGGGGGCTCTGACTCAGCCGGGCTCTCGGAGCTTTTTTTTGGGGGGTAACCTTTCTGAGGGGGGGTAGGCCCGATCTGTCTCAAGGCTTGCTGGATGCGCGCGCGGACATTCACCTGCCCGACGTCTATGGGCGCACTGCCTTACATTCCGCGGCCCTCGGCGGTCACCCGAAGCTTGTGAATTCCTTGCTACCCGGCAGCGACCCTGGCACCTGACCTATACAAACAAAAGGCCGTTCATACCAAAATTGTGGGTGGCGACTGACATAATCCCCGTTGTTGTTTTAATCCTTCACGTGGGGTTTGTGTTCCCTGGTGCGACCAAACGAACCCTCACTTTTCGGAAACGGCTGGCTCACGTTTTGCAAGTCAGTTGGACCAACCCAGGCTAGAAGCGGGCGCTGACAAAGACGGAGGTGGGCGCTCAAAGTTGCCATTCGTGGCAGTTCCGTTGGTTCCCATTTTACCTCTTCTCAAAACTGGGTGTTCTTTTTAGGGCCATGATTAATTGTTTGGGTTGTCCAAAAGGGAACCCCAATGGAAACCGCTTCTGGAGGGGGCCAACAATTTAGGTTCTCGAGAACCTAAAAAGGTCACGTGATGAGACAGTGTCAGGTGGCGAAGTATTTGAGTGCAGCCCCTTGTACCTGGCCGCCATGGAGGGTCATGCGGAGGTGGTCACAGCCTTGCTGCAAGCTGGCGCAGACAAAGAGAAGCGGAGCCTTTGGCGCATTTTTCTACTGGATGTTGGGACTAACTTTTTTTTTTGCCAACATTGATGGGCATTATTCCACGAAAAGTTAAACTTTTAACAGGGGAGCAAAAAGCAACCGAGGAACAGTGAAGGCCTCACTCCTTTGCACGTCGCCGCTGGCAAAAACCAGGTTCAAGTGGTGCGTCGCTTGCTGGATGCTGGGGCTGACAAAGAGATACGGGGCAAATGTGGTCGCACACCCCTCGCGATAGCCACCAAGTGTGGCTGCAATAATGTGGCCCGCTTGTTGCAGAGCACAGCCTGATTTTCCCTTGTCCAACAGGATTGGACGGCATTGTTTGATGCGCTGACAGGTTCCTCTCCAACATGGGTGTTTCCTGCAATAGGGACCCCTGTCTCTGCTGGTCGCTTTTGATCTGCCCTAACCGTCCAAAGAGGGGGGCTATTTTCGGAAACAGTCACATGTTGGCCCAAGCTGAAAAAGCCAGCTTTGGGCCGGGCCTTTTTGTGCTTTTTGATGGCTCGGATTAGGGCGAATGCCCGTCTCCGACTTCGGAATTTGCTGCAAGAAGAGACCAACTGACAGATGCGCGTACTGGGAAAATGACATTTGCGCTGTATGTGATGAGAAGGAATATTTGAATGATCAACCCACAGAGTGAGCAGGTTACAACGGAATGGATTCCGTTGTGTGAGTTGTAGACACAAATTATGGTGCCTGCTGTGACGTAGAGATCGGAAGGATAGTTACATGCGTACCTTTGCCTTGTAGCGGTGGTGACGAGCTCGCCAATCGAGCAGGTCGAGAGACAAGATCCCCCCCTGCCGGCAAACATAGCTTGTTGCAGAAGCACCCTTCCTTTCTTAAAGGGAGTTGTATTTCCAAGTATGGTGGAAGGGTCATGAACATAGCCACGGTTGATTCTCTCTCTCTCTCTCTCCCTCTCTTTCTGTACGTAATAATAATACACAATAGCAAAAAATGACAAGTACCAATAATGATGTGGGCTGCATTTTTGGACCTGAGAGGGGCATCCGTCCCCCAGAAGTTGCCTGCAAACATGTTGGATTATGACACTTGATTGTCGTTTTCTTCAAAGGAGGTCCCAAGTCGAACCCGTTTTGCTCGCCGGTTCGGAGTTTGCCTTTAAATTGTTTGGGGGAACAAAGGGACCCCCCACAAAAGTGCACTGAGGGCCTTTGATTTCAGGGGCGAAATTTTGCAAACCCTGCCATTTGTCTCATCTTTCGAACGCTTGCAGAACTGCCGTGAGCTGCCATCGGTGTTTTGGCACCGAATAGATCAAGTGATCTGCATGGAATGCGCATTACCAAAGTCGCCTCACAGGTTCCGTCTCGGACTGCACGATCACAAATCCAGGTCGCCTTTCAGGCTTGTACATCTTGAACATCTTGTGTAAAACAGTTTGATCAGCCACTTATAGATGGAGCTTTGCTGCTTCAAAGCGACCCATCCAATTGCGGGGCCCGGTGTCCTTTTGATTGTCTTAGGTTGCTGGATATGCTGATTGGCTGAGTGATCGAGTTTGCCCTCCTCTCAGGTATGGTTGCCACCATTGGCATGATCGTGCCAGACCTCTTCGGGCGTTTTGGCGGCTACCTTTCTCCCTCCATGTTTCTTGGCATTTTAGCAGCTACCGGGCGAATTCGCACTGTCAGAACCTGGGAGGGCCAAGAGACTGACTAAAGCTGTTGCAGCCCAGCGTTGTTCATTGGGATGTCCAGCGCAAAAGGCTTGCATAGCGTGGCAGTGAGAATTGATGGGCCATGATGGGCCCCACCCAGTCGAATAGTGGTCATCTCCCACAACCCGGTTGCATAGCAAGTCTTGATTCAATCATAGCAAATTATAGCTGCCAATCAACCCAAACATGGATGGTGTTTTGGCCGCAGCAGAGAGGAATACTGTATTTGGAGGTTCCGAGCTATGTGTTTTACATGAGTGATCGCGAATGACACCAGTGATTGTTCAATTCGACTTTGTTTTTTATTTGTGAGTGACAGGTTTGCACTGACTGTATCATCGAACTTCAGCCGAGGAACCTGAAGTTCACGGACGTCCCTTGCACCATTGAGGCTGGAGAGCCTGCGCCATTCGTTCGCAGAGTCGGGCATCATGCAGGGACGCCGGATCTCTTTTTGAGAAGTGCAATCGGGCATTTGATGTTGACATCAGATCCACCTGACTCATGGCAAGAAGACCTGAGGGTGCACGATCCCTTCGTTGCGGGCTCCAACATGAGAATTTGGAATAGTTTCAATATCGCAGATCGTACTTCTGTCGTTGACACCTTTGGCGGGGGGTAATGCACCCACTGCGCAGACATAAGCGTGGAACCCTCAAAAGAAGTCCGATCTCCAAAAGTGCATGCCTTTGTGCGAGCGTGTTTGTTTGGTTTCTCTCTGCATTTGTTTCAGAAACATCATCTATGTTGTTGCTTTTTGAGGAGGGCATCCCCTTATAAAACCAAAGGGCAATAAGGCCAGGATCCAACCTTTGTTTGAAAACATACTTTTTTGTTTGCATTAAGCCAACCCGCACCGCCTATTTGCGGAAAGCCGGCAAGCCACTGAGGTCCATGGCAAGCGTTAACCCAATTCGGACCTTGGTTTGGCAGGCTGGCTTACGTAGCCCAATCAGATATTGCAACCAAGCACATTCCAAGAAGAACACCCTGGTGCATAGTAGTAATTTCCCTTGCAAGATTCGGGGCATCCATACCAACCGTGTTCGGCTTGTTTGTTACCTCGCCATGTTGTCTCCAAGCTCCAATGATGTATTTACATGTTACCCCCTTGCCCCCCTCCCAAATCCAGGGGTTCATGGGGCCACTTGCACAAAACCCAAAGGAGGGTCAGCAATAAAGAGTGTCCTCCCTCTTTTCCCAGCCACTCATTTTTGTTGGACACTCCACTTGTGTGGGGGGGGGGTGGGGGCGGTCAGAAAAAAATACCTTTTGCTTGGTTTTATGTTGGAAACCAACCGAAAGCCAGGCTCATTTTTGAGACTTTAGCCAGACTTGGGTTGGGGGAAACCCCCTTTTGGTTGATTTTGGAGGGAACACAGTTTTAGATCCCTTTTGGTTGGTTGTAGAGGCAACAACTCCCTCTTGCTTGTTTTGTGCTTTTGTTTTTGTTGTCTTCTTTTTTTTTTGGGGGGGGGGGGCACCGCACGAAACAAGTCCCTTGAAGTCTTCTTCCGGAGAAAAACAAGCCCAGGTGGCAACGCCGGAACCCTCTGGAACCCTCCTTTTGAGGAGCTTATCTGGGCAGAAGGCCCCATAGCTTTCAGCTGTTGGGGAAAAAAAGGAGGAACACCGCCATTTGTTGGGAACCATAAATAAGAGACCACGAAATACACTCCAAAATGGGACAGAAATGAATTGTCTGTTGGAATGTGGTTTCCTTTCAAGGGGAACCTATCGCACCTGCAAGGAAACAAACACCAGCAAGCGCTCATGAACCGGAATGTGGGCATGAAGACCAGTTTTTGGACATTCCCGAATCAAGGAAACCACTGGTTGGCGCTGCATTCCGTTTTTTGTGGTTGCATCTCTCGCAAGAAAACGGGCCAAAGCCACCTCCCGGGGGAGGCCGTGGGCCCTGTCTTCCATTTGGTTGAGACCCCTGGAAAAATTGAAAAGTATGTCCAATAGTGAAATCGATTCCTTTAAAACCAACAGGGGAAAAGCAAATCCGAAAAGCAAATGGAAGAAGCATGTTTTTGTGTCGTGTGGCTTAAGGCTCAGCACCCTTTTTTGGAGGTTGCTTTGCAGCCCCCCCCCCCAAAGCAAGGGGGGGGCTTGGCGTGCGTGGGGCAGGCCATCTACAAGGTGCCCACGGAGGGCTGGCTGCAGATCTTCGCCTTGGCCGGAGCGCTGGAGGCCAAGAACCTGGCCTTCCCCACGAAGCTCCGCGGAGGTTGGTTGGTCTGTAGGGTGGGGTCGGGTGGTTGGGAGGTAGGTGGGTGGGTGGGTGGGTGGTTGGGTGGGTGGGTGGGTGGGTGGGTGGTTGGGTGGTTGGGTGGTTGGGTGGTTGGGTGGTTGGGTGGGTGGGGGTGGTTGGGAGGTGGGTGGGGTCGGGTGGTCGGGAGGTGGGTGGGTGGGTGGGTGGGTGGTTGGGTGGGTGGGTGGTTGGGTGGTTGGGTGGTTGGTTGGGTGGTTGGGTGGTTGGGTGGTTGGGTGGTTTGGGTGGTTGGGTGGTTGGGTGGTTGGGTGGGTGGGTGGGTGGGTGGGTGGGTGGGTGGGTGGGTGGGTGGGTGGTGGTGGGTGGGTGGGTGGTGGTTGGGTGGTTGGGTGGTTGGGGGTTGGGTGGTTGGGTTGGGTGGTTGGGTGGGGTGGTTGGGTGGTGGGTGGGTGGGGGTGGGGGGGAGGTGGGTGGGTGGGTGGGTGGTTGGGTGGTTGGGTGGTTGGGTGGGTGGGTGGGTGGTTGGGTGGTTGGGTGGTTGGGTGGTTGGGTGGTTGGGTGGGTGGGGGTGGTTGGGAGGTGGATGGGGTCGGGTGGTCGGGAGGTGGGTGGGGTCGGGTGGGTGGGTGGGTGGGTGGGGGGTGGGTGGGTGGGTGGGCGGGGGGTGGCGGTTGGGTGGGTGGGGTTGGGTGGGGGGTGGGTGGGCGGTTGGGCGGGTGGGCGGTTGGGTGGGTGGGTGGGTGGGTGGTTGGGTGGTTGGGTGGTTGGTTGGGTGGGGTGGTGGGTGGTTGGGTGGTTGGGTGGTTGGGGTGGTTGGGTGGTTGGGTGGTTGGGTGGTTGGGTGGGTGGTTGGGTGGGTGGGTGGGTCGGTGGGTCGGTGGGTCGGTGGGTCGGTGGGTCGGTGGGTGGGTGGGTGGGTGGGTGGGTGGGTGGGTGGGTGGGTGGGTGGGTGGGTGGGTGGGTGGGTGGGTGGGTGGGTGGGTGGGTGGGTGGGTGGGTGGGTGGGTGGGTGGGTGGGTGGGTGGGTGGGTGGGTGGGTGGGTGGGTGGGTGGGTGGGTGGGTGGGTGGTCAGGGTGGGTCAGGGTGGGTCAGGGTGGGTCAGGGTGTGTAAGGGTGGGTCAGGGTGGGTAAGAGTGGGTAGGAGTGGGTAAGAGTGGGTAGGAGTGGGTAAGAGTGGGTAGGAGTGGGTAAGAGTGGGTAGGAGTGGGTAAGAGTGGTTAAGAGTGGGTAAGAGTGGTTAAGAGTGGGTAAGGTGGGTGGGTGGGTGGGGGTTGGTTGGTTGGTTGGTAGGTAGGCAGGTAGCTTCCACTTGCTGAAATGAATATGTTTTGTTTTCTTCCAGTTGTTGATGTTGAAGGACATCTATCACTGCTGGAAATGTGTGTTCTAGGGGGCTTTAACGAAAGGAAGATAGGTGGGTAAGTAGGTGGGTGGGTAGGTAGGTTGGTTGGTTGGTTGGTTGGTTAGCTGGCCTGTTGTTTTTGTTTGCTTGTCCCTGCTTTTGTTGGTTGCTCAAGGAATTCGAGTTGTAATTTTGTATTGTTGCTCTTGTTTGTTATCTTAGACAATGTTCTACTATTTCTGGGAACTCCTTTTTTCAAGCCGAACGCATGGATCTGAACCTTCCGGTTTCCGGAAATCGGTCTTTGGGTTGCAGCGACCCAAAGAATAAATGTGGGTGTGTCTTTGTAAGGGCACGCCACACACAGCGCGGTGCCCATACAAGACCCCTTTGTCACGGTCCAGAAAAACATAGTTGGTGTCCAGTGCCTTGACAAGGGAGACTTGGGATGCATTCGGGAACCAACTGAATCGGAGACTTGAATTGTGATGATGAACTACAAGCAAAGAACATGTTGAACCTCTGTTTCTAGTGGTTTGAACAGGGCTTGGGCCATGTTGCTGAATCGTCAAATAGCGGCAGCTTTGGCTTTCCATTGGCTTTCGTGTCACTGCTCACAGTTGAGTAGATCTCAATAAATTATGATTGATCCGAAGTGTAGGGGAGGGGGGGGGGGGTGATTAAGCAGCATTCACCTGGGGCACGGTTCCTTTAGGGCATTTCGCCGCGTTAAGGCAGAGGTTCCAACTGTTTTTTCCCACTTGGAAGTACATGGACGCCCTTCCCAGAGTTTCATTGAGCCAAATAGGGGTCAGTCAAAACTTTGGTTCATTTTGCTTGGATGTTAGGACTTTAACTGTTTGCGCCAACGAATGGGTTTTCCGTATTAAACCACTAAAAGTCAAACTTTTAGCAGGGGAGCAGCACTCAACCGAGAAAAGACAAACCACCGAGGAACTATGGCTATCCCCCGTTCTGGGGCCAGATCAACACGCTTTCCGCGGAGGAGCGACTTCAGCATCTCATCGGTTGTCCAAAGCTTTTTTTCTCAGACCTATTTAACCCCCGTTTTAGTTTTAGGCAGATCGGTGTCCCAAAGAGGGGGAGTTGTGCTTATGTTTTCAGACCTATTAACCCCCCCGTTTTAGTTTTTGGCATCGCCTTTGAGTTCTTCTTCTTTGTGGTGTATGTCAGGTCCTTCGAACGTGTTCTGGGGTTGGAACACCCATTTGTGCAAAGGGGCAAGGTTCCCTTGGTTGACCCCCTCAGGAAGCAACCAGGGGATTGAGGAGTTCCTCTTCTTCAGACCCCTTTTTTTTTTAGTACAGGGAGTGAATACCCAGCAACGGCGTCCAGCGAAGGTTGGCCAAGATGGAAGTTGTGAGCACAATGACTGGTGTCACAATTTTGACCGGCACAACTGCAAATGCAACGATTGATTAATGCCAATTCAACAGAGGATCTGGACACTCCAAATTAAGAAAGGGGCCCCTTCCTCCCGTTGGCGTCCAATATTTTTGAGGAAAATGCAGGGAGGCCCAATTGGATTGGTCTATCCAAGGCACTCCTGAATCCTTGGGGGAAGTGATCCCCTTTCTGGTTTTCTTGGCCAACCCCCCATTTTGAGCAGCCCAGTTAGAGGGGATTTCGATGCTTTTGGTGGATCCCTTCGCGTTTGACCAAAATGGGTGTCGAAACGAAACCGTGGTTCAGCGCGGTTGATGTAGGCGGAGATTGAGCTGGCGTCCTCCTGTTCGCCACAAACCCAGCCACCAAAGGTGGGTGTGTTTTGTTGCCTATTTTGCGACACCCAAGTGGTGGGAACAGAGCATATCTCTGCCAGGAGAAGAAGAAGAAGCTGCTGGCCGAGCCGCTCATCTGGATGGGTGTTTGGCAAAAAACGGGATAGACCTCAAAACTGCTGGTTGCCCCTCTAAGTTCTAAGTCACACTCGAGATTGTCATGGAAATGGTTCAATGTTAGCAGTTTTCAGATTGCATTGTGCTGCACGGGCCAGACACATTTCTTTCAACCTTGTCGGTGGGAGCAACTCTGAAGCTGGTGCGGCTCAACTGGAGGGATCGCCAGACAGTTTGGAGACTGCTTGAACCTGCAGGAGGTTGACGTGCTTAGTCACCCCGGTCCCTTGAGAACCCCACCCTTTGCGAGCTAGCTGTTATTTTTTATGTGGATGTCCAACAATTGGGGACCGTTTGCTGAATGGTTTTAAAGTGAAACCAACAGGAAACTAACTACCTGGGTGGGCTCCCTTTTTGGGAAGCGCCCGTATTGTTCTGGCATAGCGGCCCTGGTCCTGGTCCGTGCTGCAGCCTTTGCGAAAGTAAGACTTGCACGGAGCAGACCACGTGGTTAAAGGGGTGGGTGATTGGTTCCAGGAGTCTATCATGAGCGTAGCCATGCCCTACGGCGCTCGATGTCATGCATTCTTGCTTGATGCCTTGCACATAGTGATGATTGCTGACACCATGGTTTTCTTTCACTTCTGATGCAATCGTGCAAATATGATCGACGACGCACGCATAGTATATGGATCAGTTCCGTCCTACACTTGCTCAGGCAACTATTCATGACCCTAGTTGGGTTCTTGCATCAGCATGGTCGCAATTGGCAAGTTGTAGTCGTTTGTTGGAAGCTACAACGACTTCACCTTTCGCGCGAGTGATCCGTTGGATTGGTGGTTGCGGCTTTGAACCCCAACTTCTTGAAACCACAGCTCACACGGGAGGGTACCCTAAGCCCGGATCATGCTCGGCATTTTCTCTGTCGGGTTTTTGTTGCTTGCCCAGTTGATATGCAAAACGAAATGTTGGTTTGAGGGAAGCCTGCCCAAACAAACAGCAGGTGCTGGTAGACGGTAGAACCCACTGGACAGCGATTTCCAGAGAGCAATTTTTTGGGGGACCTAATGGAGTCCCCTCCGGACGAAAAATCGGGCGGTGTTCCTTGTGATATCGCTTTGGCGCCACCCTAAAGCAGACACACCCTTCCTCCCACAAACGTAGCATGGAAGATCCCTTTGTCTTCAGTGGACCCTCTGTGAGGTGCCATAGGAGGGAGGGACGCGCCAAAACCGGGCAACCTCCTAAGAAGTGGAGGATCAACAAACTTGTGATGGCTCCAAAATCCACAACTTGAGCCATAGCAACGTTTCGTTAGGCTCCAACAAGTTGATCTTTGGTGGATCCAAAAGTGGAGCCGCAGAGTCCTCCTTGAATCTGTTCTGTTGAATAGACCCTTTGTAAGGTGCCATAGGGAGGGACGCGCCAAACACCGCGCCAAATCCTTAGGATCAACAACGGGCGCCTGGCGATGATGGCCATGGCCGCCATCGTGGCCCAGAACGGCGCCACGGGGCAGAGCTTGGTGGAGCAGCTGCTGGGCGCGAGGATGGGGCGAGCGGGTGGATAGGTGGCGCAGAAAAGTGTTCGGTCTGAAAATGTGCCGCCCCTAAGAAAACAGGTGGGTAGGTGGCTCAACATGGGGTGTGAAAATGGGCCCCCCAAAAAAAGGGGAACTGGTGGTGTCCCTTTCTGGTTTCCCTTCAAAGGAAAACCGCTCCTAAAGGGGTACCAACAACAAGAAGCATACCCAACGAGTGGGGCCTGAACAAAAACCGCGTTTACCTTTTGGCGTCCGTTCAAACCAAGGTAGCTGGGATCTCCTTCAAAATGATAAGTTGTATTTTGTAGACTAAATTTAAGTGGCATTTGAGCTTTTTTAAAACCCGAGTCGTCCAAAAGGAGGTTCCTCTACAGTGTTTTTTTTTGGTCG